CGGGGGCCAGCCGATGTACAAGTCAGTGTTTTTATCCTCCCAGACAAGTCTGGTACCAATTAACCGACCCCGGAGGGATGGAAGGCTTGGTTGGCCCGGGCGACTCACGACCCAGGATTTGATCCCCGGACCGCTCGCGTGGTAAGCGTGCCACTTGCCACTACACCACTTCCGCCCTTCTATCGAATAGCGGGTGTGCGTCATATGGCGCGATCCCATTGGCATTGGAGCGCACAGGCCGTAATTACCACATCCTGCTGTGGCCGGACAACTCGTCCGCGCAACACATTCTGTTCCGTTCCTCTTGCCTTGGCATCAGGCCAACGAAGCTACCCACTCTTTTTTAGATCTTTGGGACTCAGCGAGATTTTTGAGGGCCCAAATTATCACATCGATCAATTGCTGAAGTCTAGCAGCTGTGTGATACGGACGAGTTGTCCTGGATACTGTGCGCTCTAATGCCAATGGGATCGCGCCATATGACCGCCTCCATAGAATAGCTGCAAAAAATTAGAAAAGGAATAGCGTGTGCGGGGAAAAAATTAAAAATTTGTACACACGGTTCCACACGGTCCTCAAGGTAAGAAGCACATGCGTTGCACATTGTCGTCAACGTGTTAAGTTCCAACTAGCGCCGCATTTCGGCATGAGCAGTGTCATCAAGTGAAGAAATAAACGTTAAGGAAAACGCAGGATGGTATAATGTGGAAAAGTTAATTGAGATTTAATTACAGAACATCGATAAAATGATGAGAAGAATATCAGCAAAAAGTAAGGTGATGTAGATAAGTGTAGAATGTGGGAGAAAGTTAGCGAATGGTTTCGTTCAGGTTTTTTTTTCTCGATTGACTACACTGCTTTCGATCAAGTTTTTTTTTCACTTTCAAGTTACTATCCGAATCAAGTGCCTTTTAGCTGGCTTCATTGCTTGCTCCAGTATCAAGTAATCCACAACTGTTACAAGAACTCCAACATCAGTTAACAACGACGAAGAGTTCGGAGCATCGGTTTAAAGTCTATCAGGTAATGATGTCGTAGCTTTTATCACCCGTTATCACTAAACACCCCATATCTACTCACTGGAGTTTTGACTGTTCAGGCAAAGGCAAATTTTGTCAATTTGCGAGCTTTCTAAGGGTGGGTAGCAGTTGAAAAGTTACAGTAGAACGTTCTATGGTTGGCCAGCAGTTGAAAAGGTAAAGAACCTCTCTCTGCTCCTGTCTGGATATGTTTGAGAAAAATTGGAGCTTCGAACTTGAACAGAAATAAGCTGCTCCCTTACTTTTAAACTTGCTATTGGCTTGACTGGGAAAGCCGAGCTTTAGTCGGCAGCTTAGAATTTGGTCCCTTTAGGCTCCAGCTTAACTATCAGTTCAGTGCTGTCAGGTGGTCGTCGGCTTGATTGGGGTATTTTCAGGTGCTACTTTGTGCCATGCAACGTGGCTACTACACACCTGCGCTGGCACCAATGCTACAAAGTTTGGTAGGGGAGCTCTCCAGTAATGATATCCTTGTTGCATTGGCCGCTATGGATGCCTTGTCGGATGTAGCAATCGCGTCCAACGTCGGAGCCGCTGTCGTTAACGAGTCGGGAGCTCCACAGAAGGTATATCTCGCTTCGTCCTCTATTTCTTGCTCCTGACAGGCCATATCCATTTTAATACATCTTTTTAGCGCCGTAAACGAGTTCGCTAATTTGTGCCTATCTTTTCAATTTGTTCCCATTATAGAGATGGTTTTGTATTTCCAGATTTACGAGCTATTGCAAAGTAGCAAGGACGCGCCAGATGGAGGCTTCATTTACCCATGTAGGTGTATTTCCATTCTTTTCAAATGCTTGAATAGGTTCAGTTATAGAAAGTGGTAACAGGTCGACAATCGTATAAAACGCCAGCGTTTCATGAATATCTCGTTTTTTCTTCTGCCTCATTCATTCTCCTTATTTCGAAATCGTTTGATCTTTGGCTTTAGACCCTCTCTCTACCGCTCTACCATTGTGCCATAGTGCGCTATCAAGGGCGGAACTCACGATGAAAAGCAGTCCATTAAAAAATAAAGTAGGTGGCCAGTGGTGCAGGGATAAAAATCATGAGAGACGGCACCAGAATTTGGGAAATGGGACCCCTTTTCCCCTGTTGACTTTACCATTGTGCAGCTTTCATCGGCGCTGCCCTCTTCAGCGCCAACGCTCTTTCTTTGCCAGCCGGCTAAAAGTCAGACGGGAAGGGGCTAGGCGGGCAGCGGCGCGAGCGGCGCGAGTATGGCTCTGCTGGGCCGCTGGGGCTTACCCTTCGCGCGAAACGCGCATCATCTCACCCTACGGGGCGTCGAGGAAAATTCTGAGGTCATTCTGAGGTTCATCACGTTGTACGTGTGAATGCTGATAAGCTATGGTAACTTCACCATCGAAGCTGAGTTGGGGTGAAATGGTGCCCCGGTGGTGTAACTGGTAGCACAATTGCCCGGAAAGCAAGAGGATCCGGGTACGAATCCCGGCTGGGGCGAAAGTTTTGCCCACAACTCAGCATTCTTGTGATAACTTTCGCAACGCGAACTGCGGCCTAAAACAGCAGTTATCCAGTACAAGTCAAAAGTTCTAAGGTTGACACGGGTACTTTCTGAGAGCGCTAACCGTAACTTTATAAAAACAATGAGAAAGTATCGCTTTCGAGTCATTAGCGAAACAAATTCTTGTGAAGCGCGAGTTTTCGCACTCT